CCTGACGACTGAGGTATGCACAGCTGATGATTTCTTCCGGTTCTCAATTTCCGGCCAGAAATGCTCAACAACTCATATTAGACACGAAAAATTGCAAGTCCTGAAAATTTGTCTGAGATGAAATTTTTACAACCACTCAGTGCGGTTTACAACCAACAACACGAGAAATTTTACGGAGTCTTTGACAGAGTAGATTAGCAGGGCTGCACGTAACTCACAGCCTTTGTATTGCACTTTTTTAAGTTCTTCGTTTACAATTAGCCAGAATCAGTTTACATGGCTAGTGCCACAAGACGCGATTTATGGAAGTCGCAATACTGGTTACGCCGCAATGAGTACCATCGCCTTACTCGTAGAAACACAAGAGACCACTTAAGGAGGCCATGGTTCTACTGTATTTTATCGTCTGCAGTCTATTGATCCAAAACAACATTCCTGACTCCTTAGCGTTCGGCATAATCCTATTCCTTAATCCTCGATCCCTGAGTTTGACTTTTTGAATGAGAATTTCGACGCTTGATTTCTCGTTAGAAGGAAATTGTGAAATATGTGAGAATGGACCAGAAAGCTTACTCTTTTCCAATTATGAAGTCAGTTGCAAAAAGTGTCCCTTTTCAGGCTACCAGAGAGAGCTAAATTACCAGAGAGACGATAACTCCTACAGCGTGTTCGGCAAATCAGACCCCCGGGGCAGCACGTGGCTTACGGCTTTTGTTGTACGCTCCTTCAAACAGGCAGCGCCGTACGTTCATGTCGACAGCGACAAACTGAAGGCGTCCATTCGGTATTTGTTGAAGCAACAGAAAGAAAACGGTGCCTTTGAAGAAAGTGGCCAGGTTCATCATATCGGATTACAGGTAATAACTTTTTACTTAGATGTTTATATACACGGTTTGTCTTCGATGGCTTCCGGCTTATCTAAAATTATAATTACTTATTTTTGTCAATTAATGAAAAATTGCTATCTTCAGTGCTGTAATGTAGTCTTGAAACTGTGCCAACCGGAGGAAGCCATCGGACCCATTTATGATTAGTAATATCAACTTAGCCAGAGCAAATTTACTTCAAAATACATCGGATCACAATGTCGTTATAAATTTCCATTATTCATCGATAAATAGATTAATTTTTTTTGCGAAAGAGATTAATTTAAAAAATGCTCGGTTTCCTCTTGGATTCTCAAGTTTGTAGCTTTTACCTGGACGCAATAACGATCCGAGGTCTGTCCACACAAGTATAATAGCTGCTCGTTCGATAAGCCATGGTCAGGGCCTACGCATGGGAAATTATTAGTCATAATATCTGTAATACTCAGGAACAACCAAATGCAAACTTAGGAAAGCTTATCATAACGTGTTTTAAGTAAAAACAGTAATAATTAATGCAGAATTCAAGGGTGTAAAGAAATGAATAAAAGTTGGCACTATAGTGCAGAAATATCTACAATAACCAGCAGCTATTTTCATACCTGCTTGAAGAATTAAACTCGAATAGCCAGAAGACAAGCAAACGCAGGTACAGTAGAGTGGCATTCGGCAGCGATATCACAAACATAATCCCAATATGCAGTCCCATGGAAAATGCAGCCTTCGCTTAAAAACCGCCCCCAAATAGGAATCACAACTTTCGTGATGACAGAGATGATGATCACCTACCATGAGATTTTGAGAGGAATAGCACGACTAAAAAAATAGCTCAAAATAGCTAGAGGTTCTTGAAAGTCCAAAGAGACATAGATTAAGCCTTAGCCTGCTATCGAGTGATTTATGAAATGAAGAATGAGACCATTGTTCTGTCAACTCTGGATAATTTCATAAACAAGGAGGAGCGACTGACTGAAACGTTGTTTTCAATTGTTTTATTTTTTATGGTATATATACTTTACGATATTGCTAGCACTATTAACTATATATTGAAATCTAAGTCGTACATGTATCCTTAAATGAAAAATAAATATAGCCGTTAATGGATATAAACCTTAAAATATGTTAATGTACTACTGCATACACATTCTGTAATAACAGTAGAATGTACTATTACTGCTTGCTAAAAGTAATGTAAACAAGTAAACAATAGGTTGTAATTAACAGATGGGGCGGTTAAATCCGGACTATCGACAATTCGTGCGTGTTGCATGTACGACTATATATATTTTAAAGCGTTTATTTGATTAAGGGTGGTTCTGGTCAAAGCGGCGTTCCTCTCACCGCATTCGTGATGATGGCGATGCTTGAAAACGAGGTTTATATTCATTTTGTTTCCTCGTGTCATTTAAAGCTTCGAATCATCGCTGACCTCAGGTTAAAAGTCCGGAAGCGCTGAATTACCTCGAACATTCGCTGCAGTACATTTCAAATGACTC